ATTAGTGTTAATTTTTGGAATTTGGTGATTGTACTACAGTTATGTAGAACTAAAAATAAAAGTGTTCAGGGGTAATGGGGCATTGATTGGCAATTTACTCTCAGATGATTCAGGGAAAATAAAGTTCTTTGTCTTGTATTTGCAACTTTTCTATAAATTTGTGATTCCTTTAAAATATTAAGAGAGTAAATTTGTGATTATTTCAAAGTACAAAAATGAGTAAGCTTGTGATTGTTTCAAAAAATAAAATAAGTTAACATTTTTGTGATCAGTTATAAGAAGTACCTTAAAAATGGTCTTCTTCAGGTACGACAGGGGTTATTATAATGAGGGTCTTTGTAATTAGCTAAAAATTAATTCATAGGAGATTCATGTCAGAAATAAGCATTTAATTTCACTTCTTTATTTCTTAATGAGAGTTAAATGAGCCTATCTACAGAAAAAGATTCATGATAGATGCAAATAAAAAGAATAACCAAATCACTGAAATAAGAGTAAAAGATTAGAACCAAAAAGTGAGATGAAATGGACAGTGAAAGAATAGGGATTTGTATACCATAAAACCTAAAGTAAATAGAAAATCACTTTAGGTTTCCTGGTTGCCAAAGCAAAGAAATGAAAAGTTATAAAGTGTTTATATACAACAAAAGGAAACATAGCAGATCACTAGGAAACAAGTTTTTTCATAGCTTTGAATTCTAAAAGTAATGTAAGACCCAGTGCAAAAAGGACATGAAGGAGGCATCTTCTGACTTCTAGCTTCACAAGACGAAGACAGACTCACCATCAGCAGCCCAGGGTTGATCCTGTGAGGCCAGCCATACTGCCATCCTCTAGCCTTTTACCGATTCTGACAGCAACCGTCCCTCTCATGGCACTCACTACTTCTCTGCTGGTTTGATAATTCATTGCAATGGACGTACAGAACTCACAGACAACACTCACGATTATGGTTTTTTTTCAGGGAAGTAACAGGCTACAATTCAGGTTGAGGAGCATGCTCAGGATACAAGTCTTTGATCAGGACAGTCTCCCCTCTTCTGTGCCCTCAGGCACTTCTCTCTGGCCCTTGGTCTCTTGGCCTGGCCTCTGCCTTGCTTGGGCAAGTGTTACAAAGCTCTTTTAGCTCTGCTGATAGGTACACCTAGGTGCACCCCACTCTGTCAGCAAGCATCCTGTCCAAGGGCACTCAGCTTTCTTACTCCGTGGGCCAGGTAAGCCACCTCTCTGTCTCATGCCTTTTGGTTCCACTGCCACCATCTCTCTGCTGGGGCATATCTCTGCCAGAGAATCTCTGCCAAGGAGGTCTAGCACAGGGACCTTGGGTGCAATGACACTCTCTACTTCACCTTCAGCTCTTCTCTCTTGATGGCAGTGAGATCCCCTCTCTGCCTCTAACTCACTGCCGTGGAGTTGACTCGGACTCATAGCAACCCCTCCGTGGGTTTCTGAGGCAGTATCACTATGGTAGATTGCCCAGTCTTCCTTCTGAGGAGTGGCTGGTGGGTTTGACCCTCCAGCCTTCTGGTTAGCAGTGAAGTGCCTTAGGCCCTGTGCACCAGAAGCTCCCTACCTCTAGGGGAGCTCATTGTGTACCTGGCAGAGTGACCAAGCTGACGAATCCCAACATCAGAGTTCTACACACCTTATTTGTATGGTCCCACCCAGTAATCTGGTGGGAGTTACGAAGACTACAGGTAGAAAAGACATACCAAGTAATTCACTGCACCACTGTACCCAGGATTTTAAAGGATTGTTGAAAAAGAAATGCACTGCATCTTGAACAGAGATTTACAAAGTGACTTTTTCATATAGTTATTTCTTGTACAGCCCTCAGAAAATCAGGAGTAGACTGTGGGAATTATAGTTCTGTGAACATATTCTGACTGAAAATTATAGTAACATCATCCAGGAATAAAGCGTTTTGGTAATTTGATATGATGCTGGGGTAAGGCTTAGACAATTAAACTAGTTTGAAACCTGTGCTAAGTCTGAGACAGTTCATGCTAGTTTAAATTATAGAGTGCTTGTTAGTCACTGGGAAGAGGCGCTCACCGTAATGATGAAGATGATGAGCTCTGCAGAAGAGTTGGCTTCCTGACCTGGAGTCCTGTCTGCACTCCTGATTAGCTGTATGACCTTGGGCAAGTTTACTTAACTGCTCTGAGACTCTGAGACTAGGTTTTGAACTTCTAGAATTGGAAAATCATACTGCCTCCTCATAAATTGTTAAGATTTAATTAGATTACACATGGAAATTGCTTAGAAAAATGCTTGGCATATTAAAAGGATTCAGTAAATGTTAACTATTATTACGATTTCTATACTTTATTAAAAGATGATGAACTTCAACATAGACTACCAAAGTTTTATGCCAATAACATGTGCGTGATACGGGTTTGCAAACCTCACACTATGCTCGTTATGTGTGTGTGTGCTAGTTACATGGGGATGTTATATGCAAAAAGTATGGAACTGAAAGAAGGGCTACTTGGTGTAATGGGGCTTGGACTTAGAAACTGAGCTAAGTCTTAAGGTTTAACTAGAGGCAAGGATCTTGATTTTGAGTTCTGCTGCTACTCCCTGGCTGCACTGTCCTGTTTTTCCATCAATAAAATGGAAGTGGTTACAAGGGTGATGAAGTGGAAAAAGCAGGAACACTTGCATAAGACAGATTTAGGCTTGGGTTTGGGTGTTGCTACTTGTTAGTTGTGTGATCTTGGGCAAGCTACCCAACCTGTCTGAGTCTTCCAACCAACCACTACTGTCGAGTCAGATCTGACTCATAGCGACCCCTCCTTGGGTTTCTGAGGCCATATCACTACGGAAGTAGATTGCCCAATCTTCCTTCTGAGGAGTGGCTGGTGGGTTTGAACCATCAGCCTTCTGGTTAGCAGTCAAATGCCTTAGGCATTACGCCATCAGAGCTCCTAGTTTCATCATTTACAAAGAGGTATGAGAATTCTCCTCTTCCAGAGTTTGGGGGAGATTAAATGAAATGATGTAAAAACATCTGATCTAGGGCTAGCCCTGTCATCCCTTTACACACACCCCATGGCAGACATCACCAATCTATTTCATCACTCTTTCTAGCTGAGCTTAGATCTGGCTCTAAAGTGCTTCTCAAGAGAATCTTTTAGGCAGTCCCAACCAACCAATCAGGGATTAAATTCATTTCTGACTCTGAAGCCCCATCATTTAGCTATAATACTTGTTTGTTGTTTTCAGCTGCTGTCAAGTTGGTCTTAGAGTCATGGCAACCTCATGAACAAAACGCTGCCTGGCATGTACCATCCCCATGATTGACGGTGGATCAGATGGTTGTGATCCAGAGGGTTTTCATTGGCTGTTTTTTGGAAGCAGATGACCAGGCCTTCCATCTTCGTCTGTCTTAGTCTAGAAGCTCCATTAAAACCTTCTCAGTATAATGGCAACATGCAAATTTCCACTGATAACGGGTGGTGGTTGCCCATGAGGTACCCTGGACAGGAATTGAACCTTGGTGTACTGCATGGAAGGTGAGAAGCCTACCACTTCATTGCCATGGAGTTGATTCTGACTCATAGCAACGCCAATTTGGTTTCCAAGGCTGTAAATCTTAATGGAAGCAGATTGCCCCATCTTTCTTCTGTGGAACTACAATGGGTTTGAGCCATGGACCTTTCGGTTAACAGACAAATGCCTTAACCACTACATAACCAGAACTCCTTATATATATATAAAAAAAATTAGTAGAAAATATTTTGTGACATTAAAGAGAGTAGTTGCAGTAGAGGATTGACAAGAAGTTAGCATTTGGAAGTGGAGTTAGAAGTGAGAGTGCTGGGTAAGTGGAGGAGCCAAATCAGATTTACTTTACAAAAAGTTTGGTGGAAAAGATGAAACCACAGCTGAGTTCAAAAGGAGTAGCATGAGTGGCAGAAGATTTTTGTTTGTTGGTATTGCTTGATTTTTCTTGTTGTTTTTTAATGAGTCAGGACAGTTGGACATATCTGTAAGAAGGAGTTAATGAACCACAGGGTAGATGCAGAGAAAAGCGATAATTGATAATACAAGATTGCAGTGGGGATCACAGGAGAGGTAAAGGATCAGTCTTGGAAGGAAGAAGGATTCTTCAATGAAGCAGGTGGTAAGGAAGGAAAAAGAGTTGACAATGCAGGAAAATTGGGAGGAGAGGGAAGCGAAGAATGCAAGCTACGACTGTGATGGGTCATTGATGTGGGAATGGCCTCTCATTCAAGCAAGCTCCAACCCTCCTCCAGAGGACAGCTATCTTTGTAGATAGCACCATGAAAACCACAGCAACCTTCCAACAAACCCAAGAGATACGTCCATACACATCCATATGGTAAAAGCAGGCTGCAAGTTTCTGGTTGCTTCCAGTGGACATTCCCTGTTGCCTGCTCGGACAGACTCCCTGTCCGATGTAGTACTTTGCTCAGCTTCCCAGACTGTTTACATGGAGCTGTTTGGGTCATCTCTGGTTTGATTCAGACCTTCTATAACCAAGCCCTCATTTGTCAAGGAAAGGATGCCCCAGAGGATAGGCTGTGAGGTAAGATTTCTGGAAGGCAAGACATATTAGAAAGTACCAAAGGCTACATAAAAAACTTAGGAGGGAAGGGAAGCAAAGGCTTAAATGTGTAAGGGCTAAATGCATTCTGGACCAAAGTTTTGCAATATACCTCTAGTCTGAACTGTCCATACCGTGCACAAGACCATTAACATCAAACCTGTAAACCTGTGGCTGGTTTATGTGGAATAAGGCATTGCGTACAAAGGACATTGTGGGACTCCTCTCAAAGTTGTCTTCCTTCTAGTTGTGACAATACAGCTGAAAAGTAAACATTTTTTCCTCTGGTGAAAACTCTTCAGGACAAATGAAATAAAATAAATCATAATGGACTTAATACTGAAAACATAAGCCACTGAGTACATTTCTAAGCTTCCTTTCTATTCCACAAGATAATTATTTTTGGAAAGTATTCAATGACCCTTACCTAAAGTATCCCGTGGCAGAGAGACTAATGCTTTGAGTAAAAAAAGCTTCATTAACCCGCAAAAGAAGAATGTTTTCAAAGGACAAATAAAATCAGACAAGTGAAGAGAAACATAGGAAATAACCATTCTGTGCCTGTCATACTTTTTCTTGTTATTGGTAATATTATCTTGCTGAATGAACAAGTATAGTGCCCAAGTGGGCTGTGACACCTGCTCAGATAGAGAATTGGCTTTTTCTGCCTTCCACCGAGGGGACAGAGTCACTGCTTTGGTGGATCTGTCTAAAAAATAAGTGAAAAAGTGACAAAAGTAAAAATCTGTGGTGGAAGTTTAAATGCAGGTCCTCAAACAAAATCAGACAAAGGGTCTCCATCTTCCTATCCTCACATATGGATAACTGGGTCTAGGTTGGAGTTATAGCTATTTTATATGCATACATGTATATTGGTATAATGTATACATGTATTATAACATATTATATATAATATGTTATATTATATTATACATAATCTTTCCCGTAGAATACATATATTCCAACCGTGACTTTGACTCCTCAGTGGAAGGCAGACAAAGACAACTTAACATTTTGAGTATGTGCTACAGCCCCCTTGGGCACTATACTAGCTGTTCATTCAGCAAGATAATATATGTATTCCACAGGAAAGCTATACATATCTTTATATGTACATATATACACACACATATCTTTATGTATATATATATATGAATGTAAAGTTTCATGGAAATCAAGTACAAAAAGAGGTAACTTTGGTAGCTCACTCAAGTTGATGCCAGAATGCCCCATCCATTGCCATTTCTCTGCATTTTCAGAAACTCTGCTTCCTCAAACTGGCCTCAGGGTCATATTCTATTATCAAAACTTGTATTCCTGAAAGAAGAACAAGGATAACCACCTAGAAATATATATCAGTTTTCCTTGTGAATGTTCAAATGTGTGCATGGAAAATAGCAAGTGTTTGTAGCCTTTATTGAAGATACTTTTCAAAACATGATCCAAGATAGTGCCTTCTCATGCAAGAACTCCCTTTTAAATGATCGCTTCCTTTAAGTTCCTAAATGTGAACTAGATGGTGTAGGTTCTGCCTTCTTTAGCTTATAACCAGACACACACTAAGTTGCATTTAAATAAGAACAGCAATTAATACCTCTGAGCTACTGGTTCAGATGGGAATAAATTTCTACCTGAAGTGGAAATTTCTGTTCAATATCTGGTTGCAAGATGTATTGTTGATATATATCTGCTCCTATGCTCTTGTTACATAAAACCGTCCACTAGCAGAGGCCTCACATAGGAGCTAGATAGAAATACAGACACCCAATACCTACTAAATCAGAATCTGCATTTTTACAAGATGCCCAGGTGATCTATCTGTTCATTAAAGATTGACAAGCACTGTTCTGTGTTGTTCAGGGGAGAAGAGAAAGTTGTGTGGAATACAGATACCGTGGGACAGGTGTCTCCACCAAGCAGCTCCAGTGGGAACTATATAGACTTCAGAAACACTTGGTACTAACCCAGTCTTCCCAGGAGCCATGAGGACTCTGGCTGATAATGGGTTCTAGGCATCTCTTCAAGGTCTGACAGGCATTCTGCAAGTGGAAAAGGACAGAGTGTCAGCAACTTCAAGTGCAATCATGTTTTTCACCCTGTACTAACCTTTCCTCCTTCCTTCTTTCAGATATCTTCTATTTGGTTTGTCTTTATATCTAGGCAAGGGCCACATCCTGGTGTTCCCTGAAGTTAGGAGGCACATTAGAATTTTGGGAGCTGTCCTGAGAGGTCAGGGTAGAAGGCTAGAGGAAGCCAAACAGAATGTAAGTCCTACTTGCCCAGTTCAACCAGAAGAGCTTTGTTTTTACTTGCTTTATGTGTACAGGTTCCACCTCAGATCTGTTGCATACTTAGCAAGACGAGGAAAATCACTATAGAGAGCAGTGAGCATAATAGCTGTTCCCAGATCAGGCACAGAAAAAGGCACGCAGTGTGGAAGGAGATGTGGGTTTTGGACCAGATTTCCCTGTGACTGAGTAATTCTGTGTTTTCTCAGTATGGAGTGACAGACACTCTTCACACCTTCATGATTTCATTTGTGGCATGGAGACACCAACTCTAGGACAAATCCAGGACTTTGCTCAGGACAATCCCATTTACACTTGTTGTCTTTGTGTTAACATTAATAGTGGCACCAGATTATATCTGAAGGCTTCAAAGAGGTTTACAAACAGGAAGAATCATTCTTTGAAGGTTACCAGGGGTGGGAGAAGAAGGAAGGGGAAATTACTAACTAGAGGGTGTTGTTGTTATTGTTGTTATTTGCCATCGAGTAGGCCCCGACTCATAGCGACCCCTCCTTGGGTTTCCGAGGCAGTATCACTACAGAAGTAGGAATGCCCAACCTTCCTTCTGAGGAGTGGCTGGTGGATTTGAACCGCCAGCCTTCTGGTTAGCAGTCAAGTGCCTTAGGCACTATGCTACCAGAGTAGACACTATTAACTTGGGGGAAAGGAAAGGCAATTTACAATAAGGGAGAGGTCAGCACAAAATGATCAAGGCAGTGGAAGACACAAGGAGGAGCAAAAGAGTTAAAGGTGACAAAAGTGAATACTATTATATATATATACAATCCTGCAATAACAGTAATAACAGTAATATTCAAGGTGAAGACCTAGATAGACACTCAAGCTGAACAGGGGTAGGAAGATGAACGGGACTACACTCACAAATATATACCGGTTTGACAGAGGATAGCTCTACCTATGTATTTATTCCTGCTACAAATATAGCCATGAATGTAGCAGAGCATGCAGCAGCAGCAGTGTACTGCCGTCGAGTTGCATCCAACTCATAGCGACCCCTTCTTGAGTTTCCGAGGCGGTATCTCTACAGAAGTAGATTGCCCAATCTTCCTTCTGAGGACTGGCTGGTGGGTTTGAACCACCAGCCTTCTGGTTAGCAGCCAAATGCCTTAGGCACCATGCCACCAGAGCTCCTACAGGGGGCAAAGTTATGAAAACTTCTTGGTCATAACCAAACACCTAGAAGGAATAAGTCATTGGGCACGGGGGCTCAGTAGCATAGTCACGGGGGACACTAAGGTCAATTGGCATAACATAGTCCACAAAGACAATGTTCTACATTCTACTTTGGTGAGTAGCAACTGGGATCTTAAAATTTTGTGAGTGTCCATCTGAGATGCAACTATTAGTCTTTCCCCATCTGGAGCAAAGAAGAGTGAAGAAAATAATAATAATAAAAAGCTGGGGAACAATTAGTCCAAAGGACTAATGGACCATGTGAACCCCAGCTTCCGTTACCCTGAGACCAGAAGAACTAGGTAGTGCCTGGCTACCACTGCTAACTACTCTGAAAGGGATCCCAGTAAGAAGTATTGGATATATTGGGAGAAAAATGTGAAACAAAACTCAAAATCATAAAAAAAAAAAAAAAAAAAGACCAGGCTTACTGGTCTGATGAAGACTTGTGGAACCTCTGAGACTATGCCCCTTAGACATCCTTCAAGCTAGGAACTGAACTTAAACCCCGTGACTCAACTTTAAACCAAATAATAGACAAGGCCTATAAGGTGAACAGTGATACCAGGAGGATATGCATCCATTAGAACAATCAATCATATGAGATCAAGAGGGTAGCATTTGTCCAGAGATAGAAGTAGGAAGGCAGAATGGGATGCGAAGGAGGGTCAAAGGGTAGTGGTGAGCATGGGAGGAAGTGGGAAGTGTGCTGTTGCGTTATGGGGACTGGAGTGAATATCACAAAACAGAAAGTGTATGGATTGCTGAATGGAAAACCAATTAACTCTGTAAACTTTCACCCACATCACAATAAAAATTAAAAAACAAAACAGAACATAGAGCGATAACTTCCTTGCTTGTTAACACAGCTCAAGATACAGCAATTTCCCTCTGAAGATGCTTTCTGTGCTGTCTTGGTCTGTGGGAAGGACTGGGCCATGTTACAACCTATACTGCAAACAATGCTTCAGGAAAGAGGCAGTGATTCCTGCCTTTGTGAACTTAGGGTCTTGAGAATGTGCTCTTAAAACTATTTTTTAGGAAAAAAAGAATGTATGCTGCGAAACAACACTCCGAGACCCCGTGTTTTGGGTGGAAGAAACACCATGAGATGGTGCTTTAGTCCAATGCTCATGGGAACAAGCATCAAGAGGGAATTTTTTTAGACTACAGCAGAAGGGCTTCTCCTGAAAAGGGATCTGAGATTTAAAAGAAGTTTGAGAGCCAGCAAAGCTACCACCTGCACAGCTTTTCCATTGACATCTGCACTTGTGGATGCTGCAGTGGCAATTGTGTTGGGGACTGTCACAGTGTTCATCTCACCAAGGTGAATGTAAGACATGGGTATCTTTAATTCACAGCTGGCCACCTGCACAGAAAACAAGCAGACAGAATGTGTCAGTCCAGGGTGAAACTAGGACAATAATTTAAACCTGTTAGTAAAGACTTTTTTTTCCTTGTTTTACAAAGTAAAGAAGATTCATAATCTATGATTTAGATAGATACATGCACACAGAGCAAAACTTTTGAAGAGTTTTCAAATTCTTTGAAATGGAAGTTTTTCTCCATCCCCCAAACTGTTGTACACTAGGGTTCAGGACAAATCCCACAATACTACATGGCATTGCTTTGAAAATAGGCTTTATCGGGGGAAGAGGAGTCTTACAAAGGCATATGTCAGCAAGGGAAGAGAAAGGACAGATTCCCCATCCCTTCACCACCCACAGGGAGGCCTGCTGGGCCTGAACACCCTTCTGGCCATGTGTATAGGCCCAAAGTCTAGAAGAGGGATTTTCACCCTAGGTTGGTCTCCTTTTTCGTAGGTGAGCTAGAGAACGTGGACTTGTTGATAAGGGAATAAACACGTTGTGTGGAACCAGGAAGACTAAATTTGGGGTTCTTATTATGTTCAGCAGTTGTCTGGGAATGCCAGCTGCCTACATCTGGGCCTTGGAGTCCATGAGAAGTTATAGACCCTCCAGGAGAAAGAAAGGGAAAGAAGGTAGCCACTGGTGCCTTGGGAAACTGAGTTTTGGTGTAGCCCCTACCACTGGAGAAGGAGGTGAATCCCCCTTCCCGCGTCCCAGCTGGCTCATTTTCTGGTAATCCAGAGGACCTCTGGAGACACTTGTGGGCAATTCTGGTCATTGCATCACAAAACCTAAAGATTAACCCAACAACAGAGAGTCTGGTACTCCTCTGTGAAGATGAATCTCGGCCAACAGCAAAACTGAAACAACGTCTCTCACCTGTATCATTTTGGTGTTAACACCTTGTCCCAATTCAACTCCACCATGAGCAACCAAGACTGACCCATCTGTGTAGATGTGAACCAGAGCAGCAGCCTGAAAATAAAATTAGAGATTTGTTTTTCTTGCCATCTGTGCATGAATCTTTAACACTGAATCAGTCATAAATGAAGTAAAAAAAGGCAACGACATAAAGGAACATTTTCATTCTAGCAGGTCTAGGAACAATGGTTTCATCAAAAGACGGAACAAACCCTTATGTCATCTGAAAATAATAAAGTTGGCATTTTGTGAAAACTGGGATCAAACCTAAATGTATATCTTACTGTTAGAATTTAATCATAATTCTTTCACTGTTTTCAGCAGCATTAACTAGGGTAGCCATGAGTTAAAAATGACTCCACAGCACATAACAACAACAACAACTAGCTATACATTGAATGCCTGCTGGGCATTGCTCTCTTTTCTGCACCTCTCCTGGGTCAGGTTTAATTTAACAAGGAGAGCTATTCATCCTGCTTTTCCTACTCTGCAAAGCAATAAACATTGGCCCACATTGGTAACAATCAGCTGAATTTAGACCTAATTGTTCTTTGTTAAATTATAGACTCTCTTTGCTCTTAGTTGTCATTTGGGAATTGACAAATACTGGTGTGTCCATTCTCCTTTATTAAAATATTCAATTGCCTCTAGCAAGTAAAAAGTAAGTAGAGAAGTTATAAAATGGTTTCACTGGTGTGAAATACCTAGAATAGGCAAATATATAGAGGTTAGAGTTTAATAGGGAGCTCTGGTAGCATAATGCCTAAGGCACTTGACTGCTAACCATAAGGCTGGCGGTTCAAACTCACCAGCCACTCCTCAGAAGGAAGATGGATCAATCTACTTCCATAGTGATACTGCCTCAGAAACCCAAGGAGGGGTCACTTTGAGTCAGGTCCGACTCGATGGCACATAGCAACAACAACAACAAGAATTTAATAATGGGTACAGGAGTCGAGGGACAACGTAAAAGGGCAATCGTTGTTTAAGTAGCATTGTGTTTTTGTCTACTGGGATAGAAAATATGGCAACAGAAATTATGCTTGATGTAAACTGGTTATATTGAATTGTATACATTAAAAATATTAAACTGGCAAGTGTCACATTATCTGTATTTTTACAGCAATAAAAAAATACAGGAAAAGTATGAACATGTCATCTTTATTAGTTTCCCTTGAGTGGGTTCCTACTCATAGTGTACCTGTGTACAACAGAATGAAACACTGCACAATTCTGCTCCATCCTCACAACGGTTGCAATGTTTGAGCCCATTGTTGCAGCCACTGTGTCAATCTGTTTCATTGAGGGTCTTCCTCTTTCAGTGACGTCCTACTTAACCAAGTATGTTCTTCTCCAGGGACTGCTCCTTCCTGCTAACATGTTCAAAATACATGAGACAAAGTCTCACCATCCTTACTTCTAAGCAGTGTTCTAAGGAGTTATACCTTCAAGACAGAGGGCCAAAAACCAAAACCAAACTCACTACTGTGGAGTTGGATCCGACTCATAGCGGCCCCTCCTTGGGTTTCCAAGGCAGTATCTCTATGGAACCTCCAGCCTTCCGGTTAGCAGCCAAGTACCTTAGGCACTATGCCACATGGGGTGTGACTAAAGGCCATATTAGAGTTAGGCAACTTGGAGCATGTAAAACATACATATATATGCTAATAAGGAAAAAATGATAAACTCTTCATTGTTCACCCTGAACTTAATAATTACTGTCAATCTTGGTTTTGGGTCTGGTTAATTAAACATCTGAGGGGTTTTGGTTTATAAAATAAAGATGATGTTTCCAGATCATCCAATGGCAAAATTCAAGTAGAGAGACCGGGTTGTTGAAGGAGGCACACACATTGACTTTGGACCAACATAATGCACTGCAGTTGCTCCCTCTCCCAGGACTTGGGTGCACGCATGGGAATGTGGTTGCTAAAAGCAGAAGTGCCTTGCAAAGAGTCTCTTCTCTTAGACAAGGGGCCTCTGGACATTCAGTGTAAGCTTATGTTAGATATTTTCATCTTTGTTTTCCAATAATCTTCTACTACAAGATTCATTCTTTTCTTTCTTTTTTTTTTTTAATTGTTCTGAATCCCACTAATACTGCCTTTCAGAGATCTGTCTTTTCTTGATTTGGAAGGCACTATCTTTAAAAAAAATGGAGCTCTGATGGTACACTGGTTAAGCCCTCCACTTCTAAATGAAGGGTATTGGTTTGAAACTACCAGCTGCTCTGCAATCTGCATCTGTAAAAATTTACAGCCTTGGAAACCCTATATACAGTTCTACTCTGTCCTACAGGGCAGCTATGAGTCCGAATCCACATGAATGGCTTTTTTTTTTTAAATTTTGGCCTTTAAAAAGATTCATTACTAGCCTCTGGCTTCTTCTATACTGCCAAAGTGAAATATATTCTTTGGGAAATCTATGGATAACAACATTGAATCACTGGCAGAAATGTTGGTGTGTTCTCTGTAGTTTTCCAAGACTCCACTGTGCTTTTGTTGGAAAGATCATGCAATTCAGAACTGACTTTTTTAGAACTAGTAGAGCAACGTTGAGGAAATTACAAAGGAAGACCTAATACCCACAAAAATGTTTCATATTCTCATGTATATAACAATTCATTCACCTCCCCATCAATCATCCATTCAAGCACCCATTAATTCATTGTTCCATTCAGATATTTATGCCCTATAGTAAGCAGAGGAGGTCTGGTGGTGTAGTGCCTAAGGCACTTGACTGCTAACCAGAAGGCTGGCGGTTCAAACCCACCGGTTTGGGGAATCTACTTCCGTAGTGATACCACCTCAGAAACCCAAGGGGGGGTCACTATGAGATAGGGCTAACTCAACGGCACATAACAACAACAAAATAGTAAGCAGAGGGATAAAGAGATGACTAAAACAAGGGTTTTAGCTTATAACCTAGAGTGAAGAGGCCTAAAGGGAAACTGACAATTTCAATGTAATGTGATTGTAATGTGGGTAGAATCAAGAATGAGTGGGGCAGCATTGTTGATCAGAGAAGCCTTCCAGAAGTAATGCTTGAAAATTACATAAAAGCCTCCTAACAGCTGTTTAATATGGTTATGATTTAAGACAGTCCTCAAAATGATTTGTAAATTAGAATTTTTTTCTTTTTAAAGATCAGTTTTCTTTGCAGGCCTTCCTTGTTACCAGTGATTGTCCATTAATCAATGGCACCATAACTGCTATAGCAAAAGAAAATATTGCCAAACCAATACCAAACCCCCCTGGAGTTGCTAAGTGATTTTTCTAAAAATTAATGGCAATAGGTCTTTTATGAAAGCCCTTGAAAATTTCTTCCAGACTTGCAAAGTATTTCTGAAAATTACCTGATAATAAAATAAATGTCTTTGGATATCCAACTGAGAATTTCATGGGAATAATGGCAATTCCTCTTTTCTTCCAGTAATTCTGCTGGTTAAACTTCTCAGTAGCCCTCTTCCTGAGGTAGTAGGAAGAGTTTTCCATACATTTCTCCCAACATCTTATCAAATTCTTTGGATTAAACTCTTGCTTGTGAATTGTCCTATCAATTGTTTTGTACATGTTTAACTCCCTCACCTGTTGGATGAAAAAATCAAACTTCACAACCAGATTCACAAAGAATGAGTTCATGATAGAGAGTAACCTTTAGACTATTCTGGAATTCGGTATGAAAGAATGCACTGAAAATAAATTAAATGTATTAGAGATCACACGACTTTGAGAATTGAAGGACTGAACTTTTATCTGTGTAAAGACTTCTCTTGATTTTCAGTTTTGTCAGGTTACCTTCTCTGGTGGCAGGTGACATTTGGCTGCCACAGCATTCATCCAGGTCTCTGTTACATATGCTCCTTGAGGAAAACCAAACCCCCGGAAGGCTGTATTGGATGGCAAGTTGGTCTTGCAGGCTTGGCCTCGGACACGCAGGTTGGGAATCTTACAAGCATTTTCCATTTTGAGCAAAGCATATTCTATAACCTGAAAAGTTTTCCAATGTGAAAAGTAGATAAAATCATGAAGTCTGGATTGACACCATATCAAGTAACACTAATCAAATTTCCTAAGGAGCCCTGGTGGTGCAACGGTTAAGCCCTCAGCTGTTAACCAAAAGGTTGGAGGTTCAAATCCACCCAGTGGCCCTGTGGGCCTGAGGAAGAAAGAGCTGGTGATCTGCACCAGCCAAGAAGACACTAGGGGCAATTTTACTCTGTCACATGGTGTCACAATGGGTCGGAATGGACTTGGTGGCATCCATATCAAATCCCCCATCCCGGCAGGAGGAATTCCAGCTCTTCTGCGATATGTTTATTCATTTCTCAGAAGCAACCACAAAGTGGAATCTCTTTAGTTCCCTGACTTGAGTGAGCAGCTACTAATTTTAATTTGTAAGCATTTTATTAACATATTTGTCCATATTTATATATGTAGATGAAAATATTTCTTCAATTCAAATCAATTTATGGTCTGTATTTGCTAGAAATGGAAACAATTTATTTTTAGTTTTTTTTTTTAAAAAATTCCCTTATACCCCAAAAATGTTATCATGAACACTCAGACTTTTTATTTTCCTTTAGTATAGAGACTTCTATCTCTTTTAATGGGAGCTCTGGTGGTGTAGTGCCTAAGGCACTTGACTGCTAACCAGAAGGCTGGTGGTTCATACCCACCAGCCACTCCTTGGAAGGAAGATGGGGCAATCTACTTCTGTAGCGCTACTGCCTCAGAAACCCAAGGAGGGGTTGCTACTAGTTGGATCCAACTCGACGGCAGTGAGTTTGGTTTGGTTTGGTATCTTCTTTAATATTTCTTGTGTTTTACCCCCCTTTCTTTCCTGTATACAAGACATGGACATTCAAACAAACCCCAAAATTTCTGATAATGGCCCGACCAAAGTATTTTGTTCTCAGTGGTTTAGAATGCCCATAATCACTGAGCCTGACTCCAGGTGCAGAAAAGAATAGAAAGCACAGCTCTGTCCAATGGGTACAGCCATTCTCAACTTTCTAGAAGCTTTCTAGAAGCTTCTAGAATAGTCAGAAACACTGGGGGAGAGTGGAGAAATAAGCCAGTAATATCCTCACACCTCCACCATTCATCTGTCAGTTTGTCATACTGCAGTGGCTTGCATGTTGTGAGGCTGGAGGCTATGCCACAAGTGTCTCAAATACCAGCAGAGTCACCTGTGGTGGACATGTTTCAGCGGAGCTTCCAAACTAAAACAGACTCAGAAGAAGGAAGGAGTCACCCACTTTTCAAAGAACTGTCCAGTGAAAACCTTGTGAATAGCAGTGAAACACTTATATATTACTGGAAAACTTTATGTAGACCCCTGAAACATTCTCCAACATAGTGCTGGAAGACGAGTCACTCAGGTAGGAAGGCACTTAAAATATGACTGGGGAAGAGCTGCCTCCTCAAAGCAGAGTTGACCTTAACGACATGGATGGAGTAAAGCATTTGGGACCTCCATTTGCTGATATGACATGACTCAAAATGAGAAGAAACAGCTGCAAATATCCATTAATAACTGGAACATGGAATGTATGAAGTGTGAATCTAGGAAAATTGTAAGTTGTCAACAATGAAATAGAACACATAAAGATTGATATCCTAGGCATTAGTGAGCAGACATGGAGTGATTTTGACCATTTTGAATCAGACAACTATATGATCTACTATCCCAGGAATGACAAATTGAAGAGGAATGGCATGGCATTCATTGTCACAAAGAATGTTTCAAGATCCCTCCTGAAGTACGTTGCTGTCAGGGTTAGGATATTATCCTATAAGGAAGACCAGTTAATACTATTATTACTCAAATTTATGTACCAAGCACCAAAGGCAAAGACAAGGAAATTGAAGATTTTTATCAACTTCTGCAGTCTGGATTTGACTGAACATGCAATCAAGATGTGTTGATTATTACTCGTGATTAGAATGAAAAAAAAAAGGGGGGGGAAACAAAGAAGAATCACTGGTAGTTGGAAAACAGGGCTTTGGTGATGGAATAATGCTGTAGATCACATGATGGAATTTTGTGAGACCAACAACTTATTCATTCCAAATACCTTTTTTCAACAACATAAATGGCGTTTATACACATGGACTTTGCCAGATGGAATACACAGGAATTGGATCGACTACATCTAAGGAAAGAGGTGATGGAGAAGCTCACTATCTTCAGTCAGAACAAGGCCCAGAGCTGACGGTGGAACAGACCATCAACTACTCATACGCAAGCTCAAATTGAAGGTGAAGACAATTAAAAAAAGTCCACAAGAGCCAAAATATGGCTTTGATTATATCCCACCTGACTTTAGAGATGAACTAAAGAATAGAATTGATGCATTGAACACCAGTGACTGAAAATCAGAGCAGTTGTGGAATGACATCAAGAACATCATGTGTGAAGAAAGCAAAAAGTCATTAAAAAGACAGGAAAGGAAAAAAACACCAAAATGGATGTCAGAAGAAACTCTGAAACTTACTCTTGAATGGAGAGTAGCTAAAGCAAATGGTAGAAATGACAAGATAAAAGATTTCAAAGAGAATCCCAAGAAGACAAAGCCAATTACTATAGTGAAACGTGCAAAGACCTGGAGTTAGAAGACCAAATGGGAAGAATATGCTCAGCATTTCTCAAGCTGAAAGAACTGAAGAAAAAATTCAAGCCTCAAATTGCAATACTGAAAGATTCTATCAGCAAAATATTGAATGATGCAGGAAACACCAAAAGAAGATGGAAGGAATACATAGAGTCTCTGTACCAGAAAGAATTGGTCAATGTTCATCCATTTCAGGAGGTGGCATATGATCAAGAACAATGGTATTGAAGGAAGAAGTTGAAGCTACACTGAAGGAATTGGCAAAAAACAAGGATCCAGGAATTGACAGAATATCTATTGAGATATTTCAACAAATGGATGCCACTCTGGAGGCACTTACTCATCTATGCCAAGAAATTTGGAGACAGCTACCTGGCCAACCGACTGGAAGAGATCCATATTTGTACCCATTCCAAAGAAAGGTGATCCCACAGAATGTGGAAATTAGTGAACATTATCATATGCAAGTAAAATCTTACTGAAGATAATTCAAAAATGTTTGCAGGGCAGTATATTGACAGAGAACTTCCAGAAATGCAAGCTGGATTCAGAAGAGGATGTGGAACAAAGGATATCATTGCTGATGTCAGATGGCTCTTGGTTGAAAACAAAGAATACCAGAAAGATGTTTACTTGTGTTTCATTGACTATGCAAAAGCTTTTGATTGTGTGGATCATAACAAATTAAGGATAACATTGAGAAAAATGGGAATTCCAGAACACTTAATTGTACACATGAGGAACCTGTACATAGATCAGGAGGCTATTGTTTGAACAGAACAAGGGGATACTGCATGGTTTAAAATCAGGAAGGGAGTATGTCAAAGGTGTATCCTTTCACCATACTTGTTCAATCTGTCTCCTGAGCAAATAATCCAAGAACTGGACTATATGAAGAAGAATGTGGCATCAAGATTGGAGGAAGACTCATTAACAACCTACAATATGCAGATGACACAACTTTGCTTGCTGAAAGTGAGGATGACTTGAAGCATTCACTGATGAAGATTAAAGACCATAGTCTACAGTATGGATTACACCTCAATATAAAGAAAACAAAAATCCTCACAACTGGACCAATGAACAGCATCATGATAAACAGAGAAAAGACTGAAGTTGTCAAAGACTTCTTATGATGGTTCTACAATCAACACCAATCGAAGCAGCAGTAAAGACATCAGATGATATATTGCATTGGGCAAGTCTGTTGCAAAAGACCTCTTTCAAGTGATGAAAAGCAAAGATGTCTCTTTTAAGACTAAAGTGTGCCACCCCAAGCTATGGTATTTTCAATTGCCTCATATGCATGTAAGAGCTAGACAATGAATAAGGAAGAACAAAGAAGAGTTGATGCTTTTGAGTTGTGGTGATGGTGAAGAATACTGAGAGTACTGTGGACTGCCGGAAGAACTAATAAGTCTGTCCTACAAGAAGTGCAGCCAGAATGCTTCTTGGAAATGAGAATGGCCAGACTTGGTTTCACGTACCTTGGTCATGTCCTCAGAAGGGACCGTTCCCTAGAGAAGGATATCATGGTTGGTAAAGTGGAAGGTCAGGGAAAAAGGGAATGGCCTTCAACAAGATGGATCGACACAGTGGCTGCAACAATGGGCTCAGTTATAGCAAGGATTGTGAGGCTGGTGCAGGACCGGGAAGTGTTTTGTTCTGTTGTACATAGGACTGCTATGAGTCAGAGCTGACTCAACGGCACCTAAGAACAACAACATTCTCACACCTATGTTAAGAAGATTAGGCTGAATGAAAGGAACCTTTGGAGGGTTTGGGTGTAATTTTGAAACAAGAGGCATTGTAGTGGAAACTGGGCCTGGACCAAGGCCTAGAATGGGGCTCAGGCATCAGGCCAGAGAAGAGATGCTGGGGCATGTGTAGGTAAGAAATTCTCCTTGGCATAAGCAGAAGAGAGATTCACCTGGGACAAGTCCCAACTTTTGTCCTTCCAGACTTCAGATGTGTCCTTTCCTAGGGCTACCATAACAAGTCACCACACTGGCTTAAAACAATAGAAATTGATTTTTTGTGTGTGTGGCATTCTGTAGGCCAGAAATTTTAAATCAAGGTGTCAGCAAGGTTGTTTCCTTCTGGAGGCGCTGAGGTAAAATCTGTTCCTTGCCTCTCTCCTACCTTTTGGTGATTTTACTTGTATTCCTTGGCTTGTAGATGCAGCACTCTAAACTCTACCTTCATCTTCACATGGCTTTTCCCCTGTGTCTTTCTGTATCTCAAATCTTCCTCTTCCTTCTCTTATGAGGGTGCCAGTTATTGGATTTAGGAACCATCCCAAACCTATGATGATCTCATCCCAAGGTCCTTTAACTTAATTACATCTACAAAGACCCTATTTCCAAATAAGATCACATTCACAGGTGTTTAAGACTTGGACATAACTTTTGGGAGAACACTATTCAGCCCACCAAGGAGTTCCTGTGAGGCACAAATAGCTAAGTGCTTGACTGCTTACTGAAAGGTTGGTGGTTCTAAACTCACCAAAAGATGCCTTGGAAGAAAGTTCTGGCAATCTACTTCTGCAAGGTCACAGCTTTGAAAACCCAATGGAGCACTGTTCTATTCTGCACACATGATGTCAACCATGAGTTGGAATCAACTCAATGGCAACTTTTTTTTTTTTTAATTTCAACACATCAGATTCCTTGATCCCCAGTGGGTTTTCAAGGGTGAGGTTGTGGGGACAGAAGAGGGGAAGGAATGAGAGATCTCTGAGGAAATTTTCTGAGGGGACATGCTGTGACTAGAGGGTAGCAAATGGAAGAGATTGTTGGGTATTCTCCAGGATAAAGTGCCCCAAAACAACAGAGAAATGCAGCAGCTCCCTGGCTGCCATACAAGATGAGCATGAGTCAGCATGTACAACAGACCTGTGAAACTAATTTACTCTATCACCACACATAACTGGAACCCCACTTGGTGTTGTAAGTCACATACCAGTTCAGAGTTATCTGGTGTGCAGCCTCCGTTGATGTGATATTCAATGCCTGCTGCCTCAATTTTCCCGTTGTTCATGAAGCCAATCTGTGAGTGGTAAACAATACTTACTTCAGTGAGTGTGCGAAGTTCAGACGCTGCCTCCTGGTCATTGGAAGAATGAAAGTGGAAGTCCTTTCCATTGCTAATAAGAATGTGGGTTGGGGAGTCATGCCTGGTTTAAACTCTGGGTCCCCCATTTACTAGCTGAACAACCTTGGGCAGGTCCCTCAACCTTTCTCTGTGTCAGTAATCCCCTGTGTAAAAATGGGGTAAAACTATTTCTTAACCCAAGGGTTCTCAAAATTTGATGTGCATCTCAATCACCTGGAGTTTAAGCACAAATGGCTGGGCCCCACCCTGCTGATGAATTGACAACCTAGGAAATGGGAGCTCAGTCAGACAGGTTTCCTAGAGATGTGATACTGGAGCAAGATTTGCTTCTAATCCACATTGCAGTGGAAACTACACCAAGGTTTGAAAGTTAGAGTCGATAAAGCTCTGAGTGAGAACCAAACCTCCTCTTTCATAGGCTGAAATCTCCTGGGGTGTAATGTTGGAGATTTGTACATATTTAGTGATATTTTCCTGCTCCCTTCAAGGCTCAATTCATAGAGTTGAAAATGCCAGAAGAACATCTGATAGCAAGGTGGGAGTACTTCTATAATGAGCTGAGCAATATAAAGATGAATCAAGTTTGGACAAACATCATCCAAATCTTAACACGTTTGTATTCCTGAGGCCCCCAGAAATGAGAAATCTGTGAATGCTATGCTTCTGCTCATATCTTCTTCCTTTTAGCCTTTCTTTCATTCCCTATATTAATGTTCGCTGGGTGATGAAAATGGTTCATGAGATTGCCTGCTAGCCAAAAGGCTGGAGGTTTGATTTGAACAGAAGCACCTTAGAAGAAAGGCCTACTGATACACTTCTAAAAAAATCAGCCATTGGGGGAGGAGACAAGACTATACCCTGGTGACACTCCATCCTGTCCCTCTACAACAAAGACCCAAGAAATCAAATGAAACAGATACAGAAGATATTCATGGAACTCTGAGCATCAAATGAAGGACAAAAAATTAGATTAAACAGTGACTGGAAAAAGAAACAGAACGAAAACAGCAATTGAGGAGAGAGACGGAGCAGAGGTTCTATACAGCGTGGACCTTTTGGGACATAGAAGGCAACAAACACAGATAAGGAGAAGCCAACTTCATGGCATGCCCATTAAGACAAAGACACAGTGTGAACAAATCCAGAGTGAAGCAAGGTGGGCAGAACATAAGCTAGATCTAAGGAAAGACAGTGCAAGGAAGCAGGCGAGAACCCCAGTAACAGCAACCACAGAGCAGGTGACAGAGCCAGTAAATAGGGATCACTAGCTGTCCCTAGTTATTTGGTTTGGACCCAGGTGGAGAGGAAGGCCTGTGAGGTGGCCACTGGAGACACTGGACTCCAGGCACCCTCCCATCCCCCATTGCTTGAGTTGAGACAGGAAACATATCTGGCTGCGCTTGCCCAGGGGTGCACTGGGCCCATGGTGGTGAATGGTGACCAGAGAAGTGCACTCTTCTGCTTCTCCCTTGCCCACCTTTCTGGTGACTAGGGGTGAGGATCCTCCTTCATCCCTACCAACCCAGTGACCAGAGATACCCTCCTTGCTACTTCTCCTTCACCTAGTTCTTTTGGGCCTTTTTCCCACCCCAACCCCACCTAGAGCCCCAAATCACACCCCACCCCCAGAAGATTGCTTTGTGCTCCCACAGATAATGCACTGCCACAGCCTCTATGATCGTGCTGCCACTGTAACCAGCAGCATGAACCCATGCTGATAGGGAGTGTGTGCCCACTGCCTTTGACAACCCTATAGAGTACAGTTCTACTTTGACATACATGGGGTCACCATAAGTTGGTGTCAACTCAATGACAACTGGTATGGTTTCTTTTATGTGCAGCAACTCAATGGTCACAAACTGTAGTACCAAGGCTTGGTAAAGGCACAACAATCCTGCTGTCTGGGGAGTGTGTGGATGAGCACAGGGCTCTGTAGGCATTTGAAGCTCCAAGTTAGTGAATGACTTATCTATGTTATATGTAATGACATTTCCATCCACTCACCTTGTATTTCCCAAGTAGGGGGTGGCGTCCTCCTGTTATTAACATGTCATCTCCACGCTCTAGAATAAAACGAATTGGGTGACCAGTCCTGGAGAGAAAAAAATATAACCACAACTTTAAGATATTTGAGACTGAGAGGTCAAGTTTATGAAATGTTCCAGGAACCACTGGCAGAGCTCCTTGAGCACACAAGTAAGAGACAAAGAGAAGAATTATTCCCAGGAAAGATATAGGTAGCTATATAAATTTCTTGCTTCTTCTTAATATAAATGAGGCAGCTATGAAGCTATCTTTATGTTTAAGAAATTTCTTTTACCTTGGTCTTTCTTAGGAGTCATGACAGACTATTTGTGCCTAACTTTAAGTTAGAGTGGTCATCAATAGCTATTCATTGAATAGCCTCTGTAATTTAGGAATTTAAAACCCTCCGAAGTTTGAGGCTTCTGTGATTCATTTATTATTACCTCTCAGGGATAAATTATTCATTTATATTGATGGTATTAATTGTTAATTGTTCTCCAAGATCAATTTTAAAGTTTTAATTTCTTTCTTCATCCAAATACCCAGGTCATCTTCAAATCCTGATGTTCATTTCTGCTCTCACAACATTTTAAGGATCCAATTCTTTTTCAACAGCCATCCCCTTATCGGAGCCTGAATTTATTTACATCCCCATTACTGCAGTTGTTCAACTTCCAAATTCTTCTCTGGCCATTTTCATCTTCAATACACCCACATGAGAACAATAGAAGCCACCTTCTATAAATGCATCTCTTTGATTGTGACTCCCATACTTAGAAATCTGTGGTGGTTCCTCTTCAGTATACCAAGACCCACACTTCTCTTCCTTCAATAATGCACTTAGGATTACCTTCTTTACAAAGCCCTTAAGGTCAAAGTTTGCCTAATTTTGGTTGGACTACTAAAATCAAACACTTGCCTGGTGGCTTTTGTAATTTTGTTGTTTACAGGAAAGTAGTGTGTGAGTGTGCATTCTTGTGTGTGTGTGTCTGTGTGATGGCTCATGACCCCTAGATACTCTACCTAGAAGCTTGGTTGCATGAGAACATGTATGGTCTACTTTGGAAAGGCAGAATTTGATCTGGTCCTTCCAGCATCATAGCAACCTTCTCTTTCCAGTTGTTTTGGCCCTCTAGTGCTGCTCAAACAGAAAAATACCACACATGGGTGGTTTTAACCAACAGGGATTTATTCTCTTACAGTTTAAGAGGCTAGCAGTCTGAGTTCAAAGTGCCAGCTCTAGGGGTTGGGTGAAAGCTCCTTGACCTTGGGCTTCAGCTCTGCCTCTTGCTCCCAACCCACTGGAGGTGGAGGTATATCTTCACTCAGGCAGCTGCTGACTGCTGAGGCTGACAAACCCAAGGTGACAAGTAAAACAGCACAGTGCCAAAATTATCGAACCACATTGCAAGCCACAATTCAAGTCCATTAACAGTCCCAAGATGGGCAGACAACATGGCATGCTGCTGAACGAAGACTCATCTACATGCAGGATTCAAGCATGCCAAGGGTAGAGACTTCCCCCAAAGCTTCTTCTTGTGTACTGGAAGCAGACACATCCCTAAGACAGCTACTCAGCTGCTTCAGTAGATTCCACCATGGAGTTGATCACCAGTCTCATCACGGGGAATAGCTACATCCAGCTGCCCAGCCACTGAAAACCAGGCCCAGCCAAGTTGACACATAACCTTAACTGCCACACTGGCTGTATATATCAGTAATGGTTAAGTGTTGTTTTTAAGAAATAATTTTGTTGAATAGGTAATATACACACCTGTTACAAAATTCTAAGATTGAAAAAGGAATTCGATGAGGAGTGTCTCTCCCTGTCCTGTCCCTCAGCCACATAGGTCTTCCTGAAAGTATAACTGTAAGCAGTTTCTTGAGTATCATTCTAAATACATTCAATTTTTAATGTGTTACCAGATGTGTTCTCACTCTCAAAATATTAAGTGGCCCAAATGCAAGATCTCAATGTTCTTTCTTTTTTCTAACTTTTAAATTATATAGGGTTCTGCCCATATCTCAGTAAATACTATTAACTAATCAAATCATCTATTTCACTTACTGTCAATTCCTTTGCTGTTGAGAAGTAGGAAGGCATTTAAGCTCAAAGCTCTAAGAGTATGGGAAGTAGGCTCCAATATCCTGGCACTCCTTCTCAGGTATGAAGCACAAAGAGAAGTGTGTCCAACCTGTGCCTATGGTAATGGCCCTAATTAATTGGGCCTGGTGGGTAGCAGCTGTCCACTGCTACACAGTCTCTTTCTCCCTTGGCCTTTAGCCTGAGAGCTTTTTGAGAGACCACTTAGCCATACGTTCAATAAGGAGTAGAGGGCTGAGAACTGGAGTATGGAGGTTCCCAAGTCACAGACACACTCACCTGTCTGCTGCCACAGCTGCCACTGCTGCCAGAAATGCAGGTTTACTCGTTTTCCCTCCAAAGGCTCCCCCAACCCTTTTCACATGGCAGTTGATCCTGTTCTTTGGCACACTCAAGGCAGAGGCCACTGTTTCCTGTAAGTGAATCAGGGGTTAGTTACAGGGCCCCAGAAGGTCACTCAGAGTGTGCATTATAAGCAAGGAGTTTATTTGCTGAAATAGAAAAATCATTTATCATTTTCCCTATTGCTTAGCATAAAAATGTATTTCTTTATTTATTTTGTGGGAAAGACTGGAGAAAAATCTTCATTTGGTTTGTGGGAGACACTAGAGAAACTGCTATAAATGTCTGCAAAGCCCAAGAGAACATAAAATACTATTGCTTTTCAAGATTTTAATGAGGGATCACATTGCAAAATGCAACTAAGATGATCACAATGAGCTAGCTCTTCGTTGTCCTTGGCTTTGCAGCCCTTAGTGTCCCTCAAAGGGTCACTTGAGACTCCTTCGTAAATATTAACATTATGTGGAATAGAGCTGGCAATGGAACAGTCAGGCGGGAGCTATGCCTCATCTGGAGGGAAATCATAAAAACGATGCTGAGTCAGGTGGGCAGGGCTGGTCAGCAGTCTATGTGGTAAGAAGATGAACCTGGGTCTGCTGCCCATGGCTTATCTAAGACACAAAGGCCTGGGAGAAGGGGCTGGTGGAAGCAGCGAGCAGGAAGTTGTAATGCCAGTCCTGCAGCAGCACAGTGGAAGGAAGATTAAAGAAAGGTGTCGCCCCTGTGTAACTGAGACATTAATCAGGAGATAATTCTTCCTGCCTCGCCAGGCAGACTCTGGCCCACTAGTACAGAAAAGCTATGGTCAGCTCACACTTGGAATAAAGGGCTGAAATTCAGAGCTGGAGAGTCACTGGAGAGAGACCCTGGATACAGATGGAGGCTGTCTTTGCAGTGAGTGACAGTGGGGGGGGGGAAGCTTCTGGGGAAACATGATGATAGATATGCCGTCTGTGGGAACTGAAAAGAATGTGTGTAGTGCAAGAAGGGTCCTGAGTCAAGGATATGATGTTCACAAAGCTGGGTTGGGTAAAGAAGACAATTAAAAAAACAAAAACTCAAGTTGCTGTTGAGTTGATTCCTCTTCATGATGACCCCATGTGAGTCAGAGCAGAGCTGCGCCCTGTAGGATCTCCATAGCTGGTTTATTGGAAGTAGATCTCCAGGCCTTCCTTCCAAGGTACCCCTGGGTGGACTTGAACTCCAACCTTTCCATTAGTAGCTGAGTGCACTAACCATTTGAACCTCACAGGAACTCCAACAAAAAAACAAACTCACTGCCATCCAGTCGATTCCAACTCATAGCGACCCTCACTGGGTTTCTGAGGCAGTAAATCTTTACGGAAGTGGATTGCCCCATCTTCCTTCCATGGAGTGGCAGGTAGGTTTGAACAACCAAGCTTCTGGTTAGTAGTCAAATACCTTAGGCACTGCATCACCAGAGCTCCTTAGGGACTCCAAGGAAGTTAGAGAAACACATGAATATTATAGCATTGAGGCAGAGAAATAAAATAAGAATAGAAGTCGGACTTTTAGGTACAACTGGATGAAGAGTCATCAATTCATGGATTTGGAATGAGTTGTAAATTATTATCAAAGTGCCATTATATGTAACTTCTATTTTATTATCTATCATTATTATATTCAAGTTATAAAAAAATGTAAAAGGCCTTTAAAAGTTTGGGAACACATATCTCATTCTAGATAAAGCTCTGAGAAAAAATTAGAGCTAGACTTTGTCTCTCTCTCTCTTATTCTTTTTTTTTTTACTGTGATTTGGGTGAAAGTTTACAGAGTAAATTGGTTTTCCATCCCACAGTCCATACAGCCTCTGTTTTGTAACATTTACTGCAATCCCCATACCATAACAGCATTCGTCTCACTTTCTCCCTGCACCACCCCTCCCTTTTGTCCTTTCTCCTCATCTTCTGCCTTCCTGGCTCTAAATCCCTGGGCAAGTGCTATCTTTTTGATTTCATAGGCTTGATTGTCCTAGTGAGTGTATACCCTCCTGGTATTGCTGTTTACCATACAGGCCTATTTTTGGCTGAAAGTTGAGCCATGGGGCCCAGTTCAGTTCCTAGCTTGAAGAGTGTCTAAGGGTCATAGTCTTGGGGTTCCACTAATCTTCATCAAATGAGTAAGCCTGGTCTTCTTTATGATTTTGAGTTTTGTTCTGCATTTCCCCCCACTCTATCTAGTACCTCCTATTGTGATTCTCTTCAGAGCAGTTGGCAGTGGTAGCCAGGTACCATTTAGTTCTGGTCTCAGGATCATAGAGCTGGAGTTCATGTGGACCATTAGTCCTTTGGACTGTTTTCTCATGTCTTTGATCTTCTTTACTCTTCTTTGCTCCAGATGGGGAGAGGCCAACAGTTGTACCTCAGATGGCCACTCACAAGCTTTTAAGACCTCAGTCACTACTCATCAAAGTAGGATGTAGAACATTGTCTTTGTGGTTTATATTATACCAAGTGACTTTGTTGTTGTTGTTATGTGCTGTCGAGTCAGACTTAACTCACAGTGACCCCTCCTTAGGTTTCTGAGGTGGTATCACTACGGAAGTAGATTGCTCTTGCTTCCTTCCGAGGAGTGGCTGGTGAGTTTGAGCCACCAGCCTTCTGGTTAGTAGTCAAGTTCCTTAGGCACTATGGTACCAGAGCTCCTCCAATTGACTTAGTGTCTCCCAAGACTATGGTCCTGATCCTCCATGCCCAACAGCTTTGTCTCTATCAATATCAAACATTTGGCTAACCATTACCATGATACCTGGGTTCCATGGTTATAAATCAAGAAAATGACAACACTTCACTTTGAAGTTCAACAGCTATGACACAAGGAAGAGTGATTGGGAAGGAACTCACCTGTACAAATGCTGCATGCTGGCCTGACACATATATGTCCATTTCTTTATCTTCTGCCTTTGGAACCACAAGGACACTTTGAGTTTCCATATAAAAATGTTCCTGTCCTCCAAAGTGTACTTCCCCTGTTAAACACATCAAGCAGATGGGTTCTTATTTATTTATACAGATATTTACATTAAATATATTCAAAACAGAGTGCAAAATATTTTATTATATGTAAATATAATTTTCTTCCAGGTCATGGGGATAACATTTAGTTTCCTTTCTTGATTTCAAAGAATCTTCATACTTTGGCAACATTTCATTGGCAGCCATTACTATATGTGTGATGATTGAGTAATTCTATGCAGTTAAAAAGTCTCCAGACTACTTGGCTCAATTCCCTTACCTGCCCACATCATTGTGCTCAGCAAGTAGAAACTAATTATTACTGACTTGAGCAATGACTCAATCATTATATAAGAATAAGATATTCTAACTACGAATGAATCCATTTCTATAACAAACTACCTGGGTGCAGGGGCAGGGATGATATTACAGAACAGATAGAAATTTGTACCTAAACAGTGACACCCAGGTAGCTACATTTTTTGTCTATTTACTAGACAGATTAAGCACCAAACTGCAATGTCAATGCCTAATGAGAAGCCTCATAAATACCCAGAGGGACCTCAGCTACAAAGAATATATGGGTATGTGTGAGTGGGAAGGGGAGAGTAAAGTGGGGGATAAAAGAATATTTTTCTAAATTTCATCCAAGTAGGCAGTAAAAACTTCAGAAATCTATGATTAGTCATACCCACTGCCATTGAGTTGGAGCTGACTCATAACGATCCTTCCTTGGGTTTCCGAGGTGCTATCTCTACGAAAGTAGATTGCCCAACCTGCCTTCCAAGGAGCGGCTGGTTTGAACCACCAGCCTTCTGGTTAGCAGTCAAATGCCTTAGGCACTACGCCACCAGAGCTCCCATGATTAGTGATAGGTATTAAAAAGTAAAGTTTATTTGCATTCAAGAAGTTAGAGATGGCACAGGAAAGTACCAGGACCAGGACAACAGCTGGAAAGACTTGGTTAAGAATTTAGTGATCAACCCATGAATACAAATTTTCAATTCACCTGGAATTAAATATATATATATATATATATA